CCTTTTAGTTAGAGAATTAATCTGTGAAATTATAAAATTTGGAAAATTAAATGACTCCTTTCGCATTGCCGAAGGTTCAGTAAGAATTCAATTGAATTTACATTCGATTGTATATATGTAAATTCTAAATTTGAACTGAAACTAGTCAGATAGAGTAAGATAATTCCTTTGTGATTCTAAATTTCATTGTTAATGTAAGTAGTAACTAGCAAGCCGGCCCTCACATTTTAAGGGTCTCAAGCAGATTTTTTTTGGGCCATAAGCTATTTATTAAAAAAAAAAATCCCTTGCTCGAACCCACGACCAGAGAAGCTATTGTAATGACACTAAACCAACTACTAACAATTTTAAGAAAATATATGGCTCATAAAATTGATAAATTCTCCGGCCCCAAACACATGCTTCACCAGCTTCATGTGAGGGCCAGCTCTGGTAACTAGTAATGAGCATATCTTAAGTCTTATTTCAAGTTTAAATCGAAACCGGGATGCCATTTTTGGTTTTATATGGTTCTAAGTTTTAAATTTTTAAAATAAAATCAAACTATAAACCAGAACCGGAATGCCATTTCTACCAACATGTGTTCATGAGACTCCAATGTTCCATTTCCAATTTATTGAACATCATAATTGAATATCAAACGATTGTTTAGAAGCTTGAGATTTAAAGTAAAATAAGATATTTAACCATCTCACTAAAGACAAGAAAAAAGTGAAACTTGGAATACTTGATTTTATTCAAAATATTATACTTGAATTTTCTCGAAATTTAAAAGAAAAATTTGAAAGTGTTATAATACCATGTTTTAAAATATATTAGAGATATAAAATTATTCATGAATTGTACAACAAAACACACAAAGAATGTACAATTCATGATATATGATATATATAGCATACCACATGTAAAAGTGTTGTTTTACACCATGATCCATGAAAAATACAAATTTGACACATCTACATTTGAATCATACGCTTTTAACCCAAATATATATAGAAAAAAAAATCTTTGAAAGTTAAAGAAGGTAAGAAAATTAAAATTATGTATGCATTGCTTTAACAATATTACTATGTGACACCCATTGTTTTAAGAGAAATTTAAAAAATACTATTTTTCAAGTGTCACTTTTCAAAAAGTACCACATTTTCAAAATTTTTGCAAAAATGTCACTTTTTTAAAAACAAAAATTTATTATATCATTTATCTTTGGGTTAACTATGTTGTATTAGGGTTTAGTTTTGAGGGTTTAATGGGTTTTAAAGGTCAAAACATTTTTTAGTATTTATAATTTT